GCGGAGGTGTTAAGATCTGATAATATGTCGCATTGCTGTACCGGGTCAGAACCGTTTGTTTTTGGTCCATGGAGGAGCCCCCGACCCCTGAAATTAGGACTTTTTCTGGGACACCCCCCTTTCTCATCTTAAGGCTTGAATGTCCGTTTGTCCCTCCGCTACTTTGGACCACTTTTTCTCAAAGTCCTCCTCGGCTCGACCCAAAATAATCAGGGATATCGTTACACTAATATCTTACATGCCCGTTTGTTCAAATTGTATAAATGATATGTTTCTAAAACGTGAAGATGCAACGGATTTCATTAAGTGGCGAGATCCGTTCTGCTTAAAAAAATGGCTCCAGGAAGCTGACAATGAATCAGGATAATAATGACCATTTCAGGCCATAGTCGGAGATGGAGTTGAAACAGTTGCAGTTTCACACATTTAAATCACAGATGTCTAAGTGCTCGAAAGAATGTGAAAATGTTTGTGAGATTCCCCCGGATGTACCTGCAACAACCTTCCATAGCCCCAGGTTGTGAAAGGGTCTTTTGTCATTCGTGCCTTTCCAGTTGAGCTGTCTTGTCAGAGCATGACTTATCAGTGCTGCCATTATCCTTCTTGTTGTCACTTGGACATCACAACCTCCAATGGTCCCCAGATATGTAATCTAAAATTAAGGGAAATAAATAAAAACAAAAATGTAATGGAAAGAGACACTATTAGTACGAAAGTAATTAATAATAATAATGCCATTTAGCAGAAGCTTTTATCCAAAGCGACTTACAGTCATGTGCGCATACAATTTTACGTATGGGTGGTCCCAGGGATCGAACCCTATACCCTGACATTACAAGCGCCATGCTCTACCAATTGAGCTACAGAGGACTAATTACTGTATTGAGTGAGTTTACCAAGTCTTTTCGACTTTGGTGGTCCTCCATTTTTCATCAAGTTCATCATAGTTTTGTAAGGGTAGGCTGATGTCGTCAGATAAAGTGGCCTCTGCTGTACTTGATCGAGAGAGACCTGACACCATTCTCTCAGGTTGTCAGTCTGTCCTTAATTTCTTCAAGCGCATTGACCAAGTACCTATCAATACCTGACAAGAAAGCATCTAATCACAAACTTTGGCCACATGTACTCAGCGAGGCTGAAAGCCTAATTGCGTTATTTTTATAATTTAGGCTTAGCAAAGAATTTTGCAAGACATACCTGCAGACAGAGTGGCTAGCAGGCAAAGGGTGGCTCGGAGGCAGCGGGTCTCTCGGCACTAGAAGATGACTTTGAGTCTCGCAGATTGGGGGTGACTCAAAGGAAGTGAGTGGCTCACAGGGTTCATAGGGTTGCTGGTAGACGGAGAGTTACTGGGAGGTGAAGGTATTGGCAAATGTATTTGTTGGTGGTGGGACTGGAAGCACAGACACAACTGGACACAGGTCACTTGCACTTGGAAAAGTCTGTTGCCTTGTTTTGTCTGGTGAAAATAGAAAATGATTTCACCACAAAAATATGAACGTAAAGATGCTTCACATAACTTTGCTGTAATTATAACCGCTATTTATTTTATAGCACTCGCAAGCCAAAAATTGCCCACAACTTGTGTAAATATCATACCACATGCAGGACACACACAGTTGAAGTGCATCACATAACACAATTTTCATGAGGTGTCTATAATTATTCAAGATATACTGTATTGTCCTAATAAATCAGAGGGTATGGAAACAATAAATAGATCTTACTGTCTCGACCATTCAAGTTCTTCTGGGTCGCTTAGTAAAACCATTTTGGTCTCCGCTTCTCTAGCTTTGAATCTTGCCTTTTCATAATCAATTAAGAAAGACAAATTAATTTAATTTGGCAGCTGTTCGCACTTTGTGGGATGTACTGTATAACAAATATATTAATCGCTTAATATGACATTATGCTGTTCAAGACGTTATTCTTTCAGCACACCATATGGGTCAAAAATCTAGTGCTATTTGCATGTTCCTATTGTATTTTTGTGGGTGACCCTACTTGCAGAAAGAATTTAGAAAAAATGCCTACCTGCTGTGACTAAAGTTGTCATCTCATATGAAATATGTGTTTCACCAGGTACTTCATGAGTCATTAAAGCTCTCTTGCATTTGTTCGGATCGGTATAAGGTGGCCATAAAGTTTTGGATGAGTCCTCCTGTATCCATGTACTACTAACAAGCCTAACTGAATAATCCAGAAACTCCACAATGTGATACTGTGCCATTAGGAAACAATATAGATCTCTGTAGGACAATAGAAAAATAAGAGTTTGGGAAATTCAGTAAATAGGTCAAACAAAACACACTAAACCTCTAATGACTATGCAGCAAGGGCGTGGCTGAGCAATCTGTGCACATTGGGATCAAAACATTTTATCATCATGTCCAATAGGTGGTGAACTTGGTCTCTTAGTTGAAGATGGCGTGCTTTATAGATGCCAATGTCTTATGAATCCAGGGGACTGGAGAAGATTGACTCTAATGCCAAGAACTTCCTGAAAATAATGTACTCCTCCCCTGTGCGATCATCTCGTAGGATGTTCTGTACCAGTCCAAGGTCTCCGTTAACCATAACACAGTTGTCCCCAGTAGTTGTGGCAATGCTGAACTGTTCAAATATAGCTTTCAGACACTGGGTGCAGTGAGGGAATGGTTGGACCTCTAGAGTGTGTTGTTAGTGCAATGGAGACTTTTACTCAAGTAGTATTTTACTGGGTGACTTTCACTTGAGTCATTTTCTAGTAACATATTTTTACTTTTACTCAAGTATGACAATTGGGTACTTTTTCCACCATTGTTAGCTAGCTAACTAACTATTGAATTGCATCCACAGGAAAGTATGGCGGCAACTAACTTGCTTAACCAGTGAAGTTAGAGGCGCACACATCTAGCTAGATGCTAGCCTGTAGTAAAGTTAGCTCAAAACCAGTAACCTAAAGATAGCAACCTAGTACATAGATTAATAAACTTACTCCCTTGCACTAGATGTGTTCATTTTCATCTCAAGTAAGTTATGCCCCCTTTCATATATGTTACTTAGCTAACGACTTACATGGGTCTTATTAGCCAAGTGATCTTAAGTCAATGTAGGCTTTGTAATATTGTTATACTAACCGTGAGCTAGCGTGGCTTACGTAAGCTAACATCATAATGGCTATACCCAGAAGTTAACTTTGGGTAAGTGACTGATTTTGTGACCTATGGTGGCGGTTTAGCTTTAACATACGTATCTTTGCGTTGAAACAGGTTGGGTTGAAACTGCGAATTCGCTGATAATTGACTTACTTTTGTAAAACGGCCACACAGGCAACATTAAATAACTTAATCAGTGTTAACGTTAGCTATTCTAGCTCTTGCTAAATTAGTTTTATTGGCCAGACAAGCAATGTTACCATCGGTAAAATATTCAATCCATTGAGTCTAGGTAGTTTACCCGTTTACTAAGTTAACAAATCACGTTTTAAACAAAAACAAGTAACGTTAACAAATGTTATGGCTGAGCGGATTGCTTACCTGTCAGTTCACATTTAAACGCAGGCTCGCGTCCGTCTTCACTGATGGCGGGTCCAATCCCAACCGCTCAGTTGTGGCCCAGAATGTTCTCGACCGTGAGGGTCAAATATAATAAAAAAACAAAAAAACATGCGTTTTCTATTTTGTTTGTTTGTTCCATCATCTTTGAAATGCAAGAGAAAGGCCACAATATAATATTGCAGTTTAGGCGCAATTTAGATTGTGGACACTAGAAAGCAGCAGTGTGTGCAACGTTTCCGATTGATCCAGTGAAGTGTTGCAATATTGGACTATTTTGTATCAAGTCTGCCCAAACCTGGCGAATTGGTCAATTGATACATTTTCAAGTACATAACTATAGAGAACATACAAAAATGATATTTACATGGTAATACAAAATGTAACTTTACACACTCCCAGGAATTTCATACATGATGGATCATTAGCTTATACACTAACTTTCACACATCTAGATGGCGGGGCGGGGTGGGTGTGGAGCCAGAGACAGCAGGGGTTCAAACTGTAGAACCCAGTTCCTACATTTGAATATAAAAATTGATTTTTTTTCAAACAAAACGATGCTACATTTTATCTCTGGGACCCTTAGGATCAGAGCAAGATTACTGAATGTAAGTACATTATTTACCTTCAGATGTGAATATATCAAACCAGTTGCCGTGATACGTTTTTTGTTGTTGTGCGCTCTCCTCAAACAATAGCATGGTATTTTTTCACTGTAATAGCTACTGTAAATTGGACAGTGCAGTTAGATTAACAAGAATGTAAGCTTTCTGCCTATATGAAACCTGTCTATGTCCTGGAAAGTTTGCTGTTACTTACAACAGTCATGCTAATCACATTAGCGCACGTTAGCTTAAACTTAAAAACTTAACAAAACCGTTTGCAACGGAAAACAAAAACAAATGTTTCTTATTGGTCCATTTTAGGTGGTTCCTCCACATGTTTTACAACCCTGGTTTGATTGAATTCAAGTTAGAGATGTGACACTGAACAGAAGGCAACATGTCCAATTCTGATGCAAAGCGTGAGAAGAGATATGAGCTTAGTTTGATTAACATTGAGAAAAATGGACATCTGAAAGATGAATAACATGAACACAACATGATGTAACTTGAATATGCTTTAACATGCCTGTAGTTATGTGAATGCCATATCGTTGATTTACAGAAGGATCTGATGGTGTATAGTGTTCAGTAATGCAGTGGTTCTCAACCAGGGGTGCTAGGACCTCTGGGGGTACTTGGTCTATCCACAGGGGGTACTTAAGAAGGCTCATTAGAACATAGGCTTACTGCTTAAATTCATGAGGGTGTACTTCAGGGGTACTCCGGGCAGAGCAACATTCAGTTGGTGGTACAGTAATCGCAAAAGGTTAGGAATCACTGCAGTAATGCATGCAGGTGTGGTTGACTGTGAGGGACTGTGATGTCAGATGTATCCTATTTCCTGTCTTTATAAGTAGATGTCAGACAGAGACAGACAGCAGTACACAGCCAGCTGTGGTGATTGTGATGTCACTGCTGAGGTGTTTGCTGTTGTTCCACTTGTCACTCAAAGAACTGACAACAGCAGCAGGTAAGGAAAGCTGTTTCTTCCCACCAATCAAGGTTGATTCTGTGTTAAATCATCAGTATTGAACATATGTATCACCTAATCTAACAAGCATGGTTTCTCTTTCTTCCCTCTCTTTTCCATAGAAACCATCCTTAGGGTGAATACAGGGGAGCAGTTTACCATGAATTGCTCCACCACTCTAAAAGACCAGGATGGAATGTACCTGTATGTTGGGCTGGACAAGGACATTGAGGTGCTGTATTACCACCAGCGTGACTCCAAGCTGACGCCCAGGAAAGGCTACTGGGACAGAGTGATGACTGAGGGACCTGTGGACCAATTGACCATCACCATCAGTAACCTGACCATAGAGGACACAGGAGTCTACTGGTGTGTTTACACAAAATTCAATGAAGCCAGATTCGAAAATGATATCAACCAAGGAAGAGGCTCCACTCAGGTCGTGGTGAATGGTAGGTGTATGTTTACACTCTAGGGGATGTGATATGTTTTACTCTTCTCAATGGACAGTAAATTACAGAATCCAGACTAGTGTTTCTCAATCTGTGGTTCATGGACTGGCAGCGGTCCCTGAGGTGTTTCAGACCAATTTAGTCAGCTCTCAAGTGTTAGTTTCAATCTAAACAACCATAGCCTGCTGGTCCCGTACAAAAAAGTTAAGAAACACTGTTCTTCAGTAACTTTTATTTTGTATAAGTCTGTCTCTGATAGTTATTCTGTGTGAGTGCTGCAGCATACTGATTTGATTTTCCCATTTGGTGATGTCTTCCATAGACAATGCCCTACAGCTGCCATGCCCTACAGCTACTGCGGTAACGCTGACCCCCTTTCACCCAGCCGACGAGAAGCCGTGCCTATCTGGCTGGGTAAACATCATCATCATCACCAGCATCTTGACCACCCTGCTGTGTACTGTCATCTTCCTCATCTGGGTCGCTCCTCAGGTGAGTGTGCTGAAGGTTTTCCAGGCGATGGGCCAATCACGTGTATGTGTCAAACTCTGTCAAAATATTTTCCCTTATTTACAAAGTTGTCCTAGTCCTACTAAACACATTGGGTCATAATAACAGTATGCAGATCTACATGTTGTTCTAAACTCTGTCAAAACACAATGTCCTTTCAATGCCAGTCATTGCAGTGACTGAAATGGACAAAGGGCAATATACAGTAGATGCATAATTTTTTTAAACAATGTCCAAAAATAATTAATAAGTGGTTGAATTAGTAAAAATTATTGATTGCTTGTAGCACATTAGAAGATATTAATGAAGCAACATTCCTGTTTCACAGGTGAAGAGGTGCTGTAACCAGGGAGGATACACACCCCAGGTCTTTCCTGACTCGATCTATGTAGACATGGCCAGGAATCACACTTCTCCGCCAGAGACTCAGCTAGTAGAATCGCACCCATATTCTGTGTCTACCAAAGCAGGAAGTTGGAACACTGAGTAGCTTCTTCAAATGCTTTCTCTGAATATTGCTTCTTTGCTTTCTCAGAATTGAAAAGCCTGTTCTGCTGTATTTCACAGTTCTAGCCTCAATGCAAGTCTTAGTAGTAAATTACTGTATCTCTGTGTGCGAGTGTGTTGCACCATACCATGCGTATGTGTGTGAATAAAATCTCTATATGGACAGTATTCGTCTTTCAACATAAGACCAGCGGGAAGGAGGGAACAGACAATGTTTTTGTCCAGGGCTATTCAACTATATTCTTGCGGGGGCCAGATGTAAAAAAGGTTCATTGCAGGGGGGCTGGACATTTTCCACATGCGATGCACACACACCAATAAAGCACATTTCTTCCAATTAAATGTTGCTAAAAGTAGTTAGGGAAGAAGTGGAAAGTGCTCAATCAACGTGAGTTGAGTTGCAACCAAAAAATGTGGTCATCATTGAAAAGGAAAACGCTCAATGCTTGCTCACCATTTTAACTATTAAAAGATTCTTGAAAGTAATTAGGTGATTTGAAAATCATCTGAAAACGAAGCATCTCAATAAATAACAGACAACAACCATAGTGCTTTTCACTTTGGCACTGGACGTCGGATTTTGGTGCAAATCTTTTATGAATGTTCAGAATTGATCAAAGGGCCAGTCTAAATTACTAAACGGGCCGGCAGTTGAATATCCCTGTTTTAGTCCATAAGGTGTACAGTTGATAGTAATGGAGTTCTACCTATACTTTTTTTCAATACATCAGGTGATAATATTTATATTGGTTTTAGTTCTAAACAATGCTGTAGACCACTCATGAAGCTGTTCCTGTGCATGGAGTCTGCCAAAAAGTCAAAAGAGCTTGAACGTTAAACGACAACAGTTTGTTAAGACTTTTATTACATTTTATCATGGGTACAAATATTTTAGACGCCTAAACCTTATCAGGTACATCATGCATTACCTAGGATATAAGCCATTTTTTACATTACATGTTATTATTCTATGGTTTCAGTTGAGATAGCTAGTAGGTTAAAACCATTATGGTCTGAGTACATTGTCTTCATACTGATACGGAGTAATGAGTACGTCTTGTGGTTGGAAAAACAACTATTCATTTTTACCAAGTGACGTAGTATTTGTCTTACTCTACGTGTCACTGTTTTCTACTTAAGTTTCAACTTCCTAACAGGTATTTTCACTTTGAATAGCTGTAAATGTCTATTGTATTTTTTTTTGTGAGAAATATATTCTCATTGTTTGCCTTTTAATCAAAATATTGATACATAATTGATAGTAATGTGATATTCAACTTGTGTACTCATGTTAATGTTGTATTTGTATACGTGTGTGGTACGCGTTGGTGATGTTCAGCTATATGGCTTACAGTATATTGTATGTTCGGAAAGCCTTCTATCTAAACTGAGCGAAGACAAGTTCAGACAGGAAACCAGACTATTTGCATCAGCTGATATTGCAACAATTAGACTCACTCAACCATAATATGGCGGTCTATTTAGTCAACCAGGTAATACATACTCATTCTCTGATGGCGGCTGTTGGCAAGCAAGCTACAGTTGAAGTCGGAAGTTTATATACACCTTAGCCAAATACATTTAAACTCAGTTTTTCACAATTCCTGACATTTAATCCTAGTAAACATTCACTGTTTTAGGTCAGTTAGGATCACCAATTTATTTTAAGAATGTGAAATGTCAGAATAATAGTAGAGAGTGATTTATTTAAGCTTTTATTTATTTCATCACATTCCCAGTGGGTCAGAAGTTTGCATTCACTCAATTAGTATTTGGTAGCATTGCCTTTAAATTGTTTAACTTGGGTCAAATGTTTCGGGTAGCCTTCCACAAGCTTCCGACAATAAGTTGGGTGAATTTTGGCCCATTCCACCTGACAGAGCTGGTGTAACTGAGTCAGGTTTGTAGACCTCCTTGCTCGCACACGCCTTTTCAGTTCTGCCCACAAATGTTTTATAGGAATGAGGTCAGGGCTTTGTGATGGCCACTCCAATACCTTGACTTTGTTGTCCTTAAGCCATTTTGCCACAACTTTGGATGTATGTTTGGGGTCATTGTCCATTTGGAAGACCCATTTGCGACCAAGCTTTAACTTCCTGACTGATGTCTTGAGATGTTGCTTCAATATATACACATCATTTTCCTTCCTCATGAAGGATTAGTCCCGTGTAGCTCAGTTGGTAAAGCATGGTGTTTGTAACGCCAGGGTTGTGGGTTCGATTCCCACGGGGGGCCAGTATGAAAAAGAAAATGTATGCACTCACTAACTGTAAGTCGCTCTGGATAAGAGCGTCTGCTAAATGACTAAAACGTAATGATGCCATCTATTTTGTGAAGTGCACCAGTCCCTCCTGCAGCAAAGCACCCCCACAGCATGATGCGGCCACCCCCGTGCTTCACGGTTGGGATGGTGTTCTTCAGCTATCCCCTTTTTCCTCCAAACATAACGATGGTCATTATGGCCAAACAGTTCTATTTTTGTTTCATCAGACCAGAGGACATTTCTCAAAAAAGTACAATCTTTTGTCCCCATGTGCAGTTGCAAACCGTAGTCTGGCTTTTTTATGGCGGTTTTGGAGCAGTGGCTTCTTCCTTGCTGAGCAGCCTTTCAGGTTATGTCGATATAGGACTCGTTTTACTGTGGATATAGATACTTTTGTACCTGTTTCCTCCAGCATCTTCACAAGGTCCTTTGCTGTTGTTCTGGGATTGATTTGCCCTTTTCGCACCAAAGCACGTTATCTCTAGGAGACAGAACGCGTCTCCTTCCTGAGCGGTATGACGGCTGCGTGGTCCCATGGTGTTTATACTTGCGTACTATTGTTTGTTCAGATAAACGTGGTGCCTTAAGGCGTTTGGAAATTGCTCTCAAGGATGAATCAGACTTGTGGAGGTCTACAATTTTTTTTCTGAGGTCTTGGCTGATTTCTTTTGATTTTCCCATGATGTCAAGCAAAGAGGCACTAAGTTTGAATGTAGGCCTTGAAATACATCCACAGGTACACCTCCAATTGACTCGAATTATGTCAGTTAGCCTATCAGAAGCTTCTAAAGCCATGAATAATTTTCTGGAATTTTCCAAGCCGTTTAAAGGCACAGTCAACTTAGTGCTGTACCACTGGAATTGTGATACAGTGAATTCTAAGTTAAATAATCTGTCTGTAAACAATTGTTGGAAACGTTACTTGTGTCATGCACAAAGTAGATGTCCTAACCGACTTGCCAAACTATAGTTTGTTAACCAGACATTTGTGGAGTGGTTGGAAACTAGTTTTAATGACTCCAACCTAAGTGTATGTAAACTGCTGTGGGGGTGCTTTGCCGCAGGAGGGACTGGTGCGCTTCACAAAATAGATGTCATCATGATAAAGGAAAATTATGTGGATATATTGAAGCAACATCTCAAGACATCAGTCAGGAAGTTAAAGCTTGATCGCAAATGGGTCTTCCAAATGGACAATGACCCCAAACATACATCCAAAGTTGTGGCAAAATGGCTTAAGGACAACAAAGTCAAGGTATTGGAGTGGCCATCACAAAGCCCTGACCTCAATCCTATAGAACATTTGTGGGCAGAACTGAAAAGGCGTGTGCGAGCAAGGAGGCCTAAAAACCGGACTCAGTTACACCAGCTCTGTCAGGAGGAATGGGCCAAAATTCACCCAACTTATCGTCGGAAGCTTGTGGAAGGCTACCCGAAACATTTGACCCAAGTTAAACAATTTAAAGGCAATGCTACCAAATACTAATTGAGTGAATGTAAACTTCTGACCCACTGGGAATGTGATGAAAGAAATAAAAGCTGAAATAAATCATTCTCTCTACTATTATTCTGACATTTCACATTCTTAAAATAAAGTGGTGATCCTAACTGACCTAAAACAGGGAATGTTTACTAGGATTAAATGTCAGGAATTGTGAAAAACTGAGTTTAAATGTATTTGGCTAAGGTGTATGTAAACTTCCGACTTCAACTGTATACAGTGGGGAGAACAAGTATTTGATACACTGCTGATTTTGCAGGTTTTCCTACTTACAAAGCATGTAGAGGTCTGTAATTTTTATCATAGGTACACTTCAACGGTGAGAGACGGAATCTAAAACAAAAATCCAGAAAATCACATTGTATGATTTTTAAGTAATTCATTTGCATTTTATTGCATGACATAAGTATTTGATCACCTACCAACCAGTAAGAATTCCGGCTCTCACAGACCTGTTAGTTTTTCTTTAAGAAGCCCTCCTGTTCTCCACTCATTACCTGTATTAACTGCACCTGTTTGAACTTGTTACCTGTATAAAAGACACCTGTCCACACACTCAATCAAACAGACTCCAACCTCTCCACAATGGCCAAGACCAGAGAGCTGTGTAAGGACATCAGGGATAAAAATGTAGACCTGCACAAGGCTGGGATGGGCTACAGGACAATAGGCAAGCAGCTTGGTGAGAAGGCAACAACTGTTGGCGCAATTATTAGAAAATGGAAGAAGTTCAAGATGACGGTCAATCACCCTCGGTCTGGGGCTCCATGCAAGATCTCACCTCGTGGGGCATCAATGATCATGAGGAAGGTGAGGGATCAGCCCAGAACTACACGGCAGGACCTGGTCAATGACCTGAAGAGAGCTGGGACCACAGTCTCAAAGAAAACCATTAGTAACACACTACGCCGTCATGGATTAAAATCCTGCAGCGCACGCAAGGTTCCCCTGCTCAAGCCAGCGCATGTCCATGCCCGTCTGAAGTTTGCCAATGACCATCTGGATGATCCAGAGGAGGAATGGGAGAAGGTCATGTGGTCTGATGAGACAAAAATAGAGCTTTTTGGTCTAAACTCCACTCGCCGTGTTTGGAGGAAGAAGAAGGATGAGTACAACCCCAAGAACACCATCCCAACCGTGAAGCATGGAGGTGGAAACATCATTCTTTGGGGATGCTTTTCTGCAAAGGGGACAGGACGACTGCACCGTATTGAGGGGAGGATGGGGCCATGTATCACGAGATCTTGGCCAACAACCTCCTTCCCTCAGTAAGAGCATT